AAAAAAAAAAAAAAAAGTACTTCACATTTCACAGAAGTGCTTTGGCAGTATTGGCAATTAATCCTGGAGCAAGGAGGCAGATGAGCCCCCTACCAACCCTCAGCAAAAGTACAACCACATTTTCTCCTGAGAGTTTATACTCCAGGTCACTACACACCACACTGCTCCACTCTGCAGACTTTTGTAAACTTGATCTTAAGATGTAACTGAGTCCTGTACAGATCACAACAAAAAATACCCTAAAACCAAAGTGGCAGAAAAGTAAACAAACTCCAAAGTTTCCAGTAAGGCATCAGGAAATTGCTATTGGTTGAGTCCTTCATTTTACCAACTTAAAGAAAACTTTTGATTCTTATTTCTCAGCAAACCTAATTCATAAGCTTAACCAACAGACTCAAGTCAAAAGTTTTAAAGACAATCCCCACCTTTCTCTTTTTTTGGTAAATGTTTCATATAAAACATGAAATCAAGTGCTACTTTATAAAAAAAATGAGTTCTTTTAATAGTAAAAATATATATTTTTATATTTCTCTTTTTAAAAAGACATATTAACAATACTTCAGAAGACCGGATTTAGGCCCGCACCCCACCCCCCACCAGCTGTCCACCTGGCACAGATACATTAAGGCAAAGGCTCCTGGAGAGGCAGGTGCACCTCAGCTGTGGGCTGGATGCCAGATGAACACACTCCGCTCCCACAGGGTCAGCAGAAATGCTTCTCCCTCATGCTCACTGAGCCATCCTGCATCCCAAAGTAGACTCTCTCTGCCATGTTGATGAACAAGCCTGTGTCCACCACACCTGCAGGACAAAGGACAGAAAGAAGCATTCATATTCAGCTCCCCAAGGCAAGAAGAGAGTCAAGGATCACAAGATCAATGGAAGCTACTATACGCACTGGACAAATACCAGATCTAAAGCCTTCTCCTCCCAAATGGCAATGAAAAGACATTCTTATTCTCTACTTCTTCTGCAACCTTCTTCTCCCCTCCCACTTTGGTTTTCTTTCAATACCCAAATATGCCAAGATTTTTTCTCGCCTTGAGGCCTTTGCTGGTGCTATTCTTTTTCCTGGACTGATCATCTTCACGGACTTGAAGCACTTGGCTCTTCTCCAGGCCATCAGCTATCAGATGACAAGCTATCTTCTCTGAGAGGCCCTCCAAAACTATTATAAGCAGTTCCCAGACCCCACGAGTTGTTTGCAATCACACAACCAGCCTTGAAAGATTTCTTCAGAATGGGTGAAGGTATTTGTAACATATACACCAAACAAAGGACATACATCAAAATACATAAGACAGAGAACTCAGTAGAAAAATGGCAACTGGAATTGAACGCACACCTGTGGCTTCCAGCCAAGCAGTAGACAGGGTATATATACTAGTTGAGCATTTACCTGCGGTAGATACACTCTTTGGAGAGAACAAGTAAGAGAGAAAGAAGGGCTGCTCAGGCACAGGGAGACAGCTCGGGGGTAGGAGTGCATGGAAGGATGGACACAGGGAAGCGGTATCTATCGGGAGGAAGTGGGAGAGGAGATGATGCATTGTGCTAAATTGTGGTCAATGTCATGAGACAAAGTGTATGTGATCTGCTGTATGGAAAGTGTATTTGCTCTATAAATTTTCACCCAAATCACAATTAAAAAAAAAAAAAAAAAGGAAAGAAAAATGGCAAGAGACTTGAACAAAAGAAGCTATCCAGAACAGCCACTAAACATTTTAAAAGATATTTAAATTCATTAGTCAGTAGGGAATGCAAATTAAAATAAGACAGCACTATAAACATACCAGAATGAGTGCGATGAAATATGGCTAGGATGCAAAGACACTCCCTTACACAGATAGGAGTATAACCTTAGAATAACCACTTTAGAAAACGTTTGGTCATACATCTTCTAAAGCCAAATAAATTCATACTAATAACCCAGCAATTCTACTCCTAGGCATTAATGCAACCCTTAGCCATACATATGGTCATAAAAACACATGTACAATATGCACACAGTAGCATTTGTCCTAATAGCAAAAAGCTGAAAACATCCAAATGCCCATCAAGAGTAGAATGGAGGTATATATGTATATTTCTTCACACACATACATACAACTGAATATTACTCAGCAGTGACAGTTAACTACAACTATATGCAACCTTTACTGAAATTATACATATGTGCATACAATATGGAAGCTCTGGTAGCATAGTGCCTAAGGCATTTGACTGCTAACCAGAAGGCTGGCAGTTCAAACCCATCAGCCACTCCTCAGAAGGACGGCTGGTCAAATCTACTTCCGTAGCTATACTGCCTCAGAAACCCAAGGAGAGGTCACTATGAATCGTATCCTATCGACAGCAGTGCGTTGCATTGCATTGAGTTGCAGGTACTACACTGAGATAACTGTTCAACTCTCAGAGATAAAGTCTGAGGATATACAGTTGAAAAGGACCTGGCTACATTGCTGGTGATAGAAGGGTAAACTGGTACAATCTATAGAGGGCAACTGAGCACTACCTAGCAATATTACAGATACACTTGCCCTTTGATTGCAATTCCCGTCTAATAGAAAACCATGGTTAAACTCTGCTATAGCCATAAAATGGGATACTACACAGTTATTTAAAAGAGGAAAAAAAGAATGAGGACACTCTTTATACAACTACATACTGTGTTATCAGTATGTGATAATTTCTAAGATGGGAAAAGCAGCCATGTGCATAGAATGGCGCACCACTTGTGTAAAATGAGGTGGGGGTGGGGAGTATTTGTGTATTTATGAAAGACATCTGAAAGAAGACAAGATTATGCTAACACTGACCACACCTCCAGAGCAGTGGCTGGGGGGGTGGGGGAGTGCTTTACTCTTTCATAATTTTGAACTACATAAATTTAAAAGAATAGGAAGTAGGCAGGTAGGCAGATAGGTAGGTAAACAGGTAGGCAAGAAAGGACAGTGATTTTTCTACTGGAAATGAAAAGACAGGAAGAAAAGCCCCAAAACATATAGAGCCTAAGGCACTTGACTGCAAATCAGAAGGCTAGTGGTTCAAACCCACCAGTCACTCCTCGGAAGGCTGGCCAATCTACTTCCATAGTGATACTGCCTCAGAAACCCAAGGAGGGGTCGCTACGAGTCGGGTCCAACTCGACGGCACATAACAACAACCACATCAAACTGTGCCTACATGACTGGAGCCTCCCAAAGAGGAACAAAGTGACCACTCAAGACTCATTCTTTTCACAGATATATGCACAACCATGTTCATCACAGCACTATTTACAATAGCCAAAAGATGGAAACAACCTAGGTGTCCATCAACTGAGGAATGGATAACCAGACTTTGGTACATACACACAATGGAATACTATGCAATGCTAAAGAATAATGCAGAATCTGCAAAACACGGCATAACGTGGATGAACTTGGAGGACATTATGCTGAGTGAAATAAGTCAATCACAAAAGGACAAATATCGTATTAGTCCATTATTGTAAAAGTTAAGGAAAGGTTTATCTATAGAAGGAAATTTTCTTTGTTGGTTACCAGGGGTGGGAGGGGAGGGGAGGGAACGCTGTTAGTTAGATAGAGATAAGTATTGATTTGGGTGAAGAGAAGGGCAATGTACCAAATGTGAGTAACCAATATGGCACCATTGAGTATGAGAAAGACATAGAGGTACATGGGAGGTACAGACAACAAATATGAACCCTTTCGCACATACAGTATTGCATTGTCAGTGAAGGCAAGCATGGGTGTATGGGTGGATAGATGGGTGGACAGGCTAAACAATTAGGTATGTCTATGAAATGGGGAGTGTATCCAAGAACATATATAGGGTTGGCAGACAATGGTCCTATAAGTTTATGTGAATGATCAGAATTCCCAGGTGTATTGTAGAGCTGACAAGGGGCAAGGTTGTGGGTACTGCTTGGTCACAGCCAGCTACTCAGAGGGACCGAGTAGTTGAACCTGTGGGCTTGGGACCACAGTCACAGGTGACATCAAGCTCAATTGGCATAACACACTATACAAAACATTGTTCCACCTCCTACTTTGGCGAGTAGCAACTGGGATCTTAAAAGCTAGCAAGCTGCCATCTAGATGCAACGATGGGTCTCTCCTCGTCCAGAGCAAAGAAGAATGAAGAAAACCAAAATTCATGGAAACAATTAGTCCTAGTAACTGGTACACCATCCGTTCTGCAGCCTATACAACTATGAGACCAGAAGAACTAGATGGTGCCTAGCTACCACTATCATCTACTTGTAAGGGGATCTATGTAGGAGATCCTTGATAGAGAGGGAGAACAATGTGGAACAAAATTCAAAATCATTTGGAGGAAAAAAAAGGTGGGGAGACCAGGTCAGCTGTCCTCTAAGCAGGCTCACAGATGCAAACCAAAGAAATGGGACAAGGGCAGTGAGACAGGGATAGTGAAAATCACCCTGCTTCTCCTCCCTCTATCTTGGTCTAGTAGCAAGTCTAATGGACCAAATCAGGAGGAGAAAAGAAAGAATGAGAAAAGAGAGAGCCAACCACTCTGAAGCTTCTGTTGGATCATGACTTAATAACTAGCCAGTCTTTTTTCTTGACTCTTTTGTTTTCATTTTCCTCACTGTAACTCCTAATAAAACTCTAAGAGGTAGCTTCTACTTGTGTGGAGAGTAAAGTATGTGCAAAATTACCTCACAAAAAACATCTTAATGGCTTAGTAAGCCACGAAAGGTCTGAGAAGGAGGAACAGCGCTATCTAGTGGGCACTGCAGGAAATCCACCTACAGAAGAACAGCACCGGCAAGGCTGAGCCTTTTCTACAGGCCCCCTGGACCCCCTGGGTGTCTCTGCATTATCATTAGGGGCAATTTCTCTGATTTTACCAACAGTGACTTCTACGTCCTCTCTGTCTTCCTCCTGCTTTCTTGGCTCTTTAATTCTTCCATTAAGAAAATAAACACTAAAGCAAGGGAAGAAGGATAACTGAAATCATCTTTTGACTTAATAAATCCAGTAAAAGACAGTTAATGGAAGACTACTAAAATAGCAGACTAAAGTAGGGTTAGAAATATTAGCTCTTTACATATATTCACACAGTTCATTCCCAATTAGCATGGGTAACTTAGAAACTAGTATATTTAATCAACAGAGAAGACAATAACCTTCTTCCTAGAGATTTATTCATTCAACTAACATTTCCTGATGTGCTGGGCATTGTATTAACTCATTTACTGTTCCCAGCAATCCTAAGAGGTAAGTATTAGTTTTAGCCTTTTTTTACAGAGAAGGAAACTGAGGCACAGAGTTAACATCTCTGCAGTTAACGTCTGCCTCACTAGCCAGCTGCATTCCAAGAATATTTCATCACATGGAATAACATTACCAATTAGACAGTCTCTCAATAGCATAAGAGACTGACACCTCTCAGATCTGTCTCCTTTCAATCCTCTCACGTAAGCACACAGTACCTGCTCATAATCTGTCTCTACGCTGCCTAGCCAGCTTTCACCCAGCTCTCAAGCCCCATTCCAGCAATCTTGGCCCAAACCACACTAAAGCCTCTCCATGCCGTGGAAATTCAAGTCACACAACCCATCCTCAGCCCTGTATTCAAAGCAGTGAAATTTAAAAATCAAGGTATAGAAACAGAAAATGCAGGGCTCCCATCTTGGCAATGCCGCTCCTCATGACCTGTGGACCTTCAGCAAACTGCTTACCTTTCCTTGGCCTGCTTACTCCTCTATAAACACCTCATAAAAGTGGAATCAACTGAGACATTTTTGAACACTTAGCAGAGTGCACAGGTGAAAAGCCACCTCTTTTCCATACCCTAAATTCCCCAGAAGAATGGACCTCTGTGCTCTCTAGACTCTTGGTATTTCCCTAGAAGAATTTACCACATTCTATCTAATGTGTAGGCATTTCCTCTACATAGCCACATTCTGCTTTCCGTAGATTTATAGCAATTACTTAAGAAGAGATTCCATGTTCTACAGATCAGAGAATCCCCTCTAATGTATGGCACAGCATCTTCCCTGTGTTATGTGTCCAGTGAATGTGTGTGAACTGAATTATTTGTTCCGACTGGGAAGTTTCTACCCAGAAAGATGGGCTAATTTCAAAGCAAGTCCCCTGACTGTCCATCAGCACTAGGTCTATACCCCAACGAAATGGCACAGCCAACAAAGCTGATTGTGAGCATCAACCACTCCTGTGGGGGAAAGGCAAAAAGTCAAAGGCAAAAAAGTTCAAACATCATTACAAACATATTATCAAGGAAGTGTTTTAACCAAGTCTTACAAAACCCACATCCACTGGGGCTTCTGTGGCCAGAGGCAGAGGTGTTTCTGCCCACCAAGCATCACTCACATACCTGGGATCATTTTGATAGCAGTATTCACTTCACTCCATTTGTGCACTTGGTCAAACTTCCAGTCCAGGATAAAATTCCCATTATCTGTCACCACAGGACCCTAGAAAATATTTTCCACATTGACTAAGGATGTACATGCAGGCAGGAAGAGGGTGGGACAGCAAAGAGGAGGTAACAACCAAAGATAAGTATCCTAATTAACTCAGCTCCAACTCATACTCCATCTTGTGCCTTCTGCAAGGCAGTGCCATAAAACAGCAACAAACAGAAAGAAGCTTTAAGGTCAGAAAGATCTGGATTGGAATCCTGAGGCCACAAAGGTCTGGATCTCAGAGGAAACATCAACCTCTATAAGCTTCAGGTTCCTCAAGAGCAAAAGAGGAATAACAGCTAACTACTTCATACGGTATCAGCAGAGGTTAAACGGATCCCACATGTAAGTCCTGCCCACGGTGAGTGTTCACGGTTAAGCGAACAACAATTCGTAGCCATTATGTCACTATGAGTTGTAACTGACAAAACAGCACCCAACAACATAATAGTGAAAAAGTACAGCAAAAGAACAGATTACCAACATTGTGCAACATCCTCACATCTTCAGACTGTTTCTACAATCATGAGAAATAAGACAATGGTATTGCACTCCTTACAATGTCCCCCAGTCAGGCCGTCCCATCAAAAAGACAGGGAGCAGTGAGAAGTTCTGGGGTCAGACAGAATGACTCTCCCATTCGTACAGGGGATATACAGTGTATTATAAATATGCTCTTATCTACGTGAGTTTGAATACAGAAACTAAAAAGCCAGATAAAACAAATTAACTGATTTAAAAACTTTAAAAAAAAAACACTGCCTAGTCTAGGCACAATGGTCCTAATGGGAATAGAAAGGAAGAGACCATGCTGAACCCAGAATGCCCTCCAGAAACCTCCCTAGCCACTTACTGCCTTGTTGACGGCCATTCGTAGTTCAACCACACCTCCAAACTTCTGCGTCACAGCTCGGCTCACAGGGACGTAGGCCATTGGGATGACCTCAATGGGGATTCCCTTATGCCACTGATCCCCAAGGTTCTTTGAATCCTTCCTGAAAAGAAAAAGTCAATATCCACAATAAAAATAAATATGCTTAAGGAAACAGATAAACTTCAAATCAAGAACAGGGCTAATTGTGGTGGGAGGGGGGCACCGGAGGTGATCAGGAACAAATATATAACAAATGTGTTGGCTGTTGTACTGCTTAAGAAGAAATGTATGAATATGACAAAAATGTCAGACATGACATGGCTGGCTTATGGATAAACAGGTATCTATTGTATTATTTATGCTCATTCCACAGCTATATTTCATAATAAATATACATACATGTACTTTGTAAAATTAACAAACCTTAACACAAGTGTCATCTACCAGATACCTGGTCAAAGACTGCCCACAACACAAGTCTGTGTGGCAAACCCTGGCCTCAGAGAAAACCAGGCTGAGTCACTGCTCATGAGCACAGCTTGCCCAGTTTTCTCTCAGGATCCCTATGAGGATCACACAAGTGGCACGTGAAGACATACTCTGTTAACAGGGGCAAAAGCTGTTTCCATCCCCTTCCAATGAGCATACGAAATAGAGCTGAGGTTCCAGAGTGATATGATCAATTAGCAGTATCTTCCTTGAGCATGAAAGCAGAACATAAGTCATCCTAAACGCTTCCCTAAGTCATACCACAGTCCTCAAGATTTGAGAAAGTCAGATAGTCCCTCCATTTCTTTACTTCTTCCCCCATAAACTGAACATGAAGCTGGGGCCCAGTGTGCCTCCTCAGTGGGTAGTTCAGGGTACCACATACCATACCTGAAATCGGCAATCACGATGAAGCGGCTGGCATAGCCAGCCACAATCTTTTCCTGGGTCAGGCAGCCTCTGAGAATGGGAAGAAGCAAATAAACACAGGATTAAGGGTAGTCCAGGCCACCTGAAGGTCTCAGGTTTGCAGGTCAGATCAACCTGAGGAACTTCAGATTCTGAGGGATAGAAAGAATGTCTCTCCCATTGTACAGGGGAAAGGCATTGTATTAACAACTATAGTCTTATCTACATGAGTCTGAATACAGAAACTAAAAATCCAGGCAAAACAAATAAATCAATTTAAAAAATCAGATTAAAAAAAATTTGAATCAGATATAGAAGACCCAAATCAGCCCATTTGTGGCACCTAAGAAGAAATTTAACTTTTTATTTTTAAAGGGATATCACAGCCCCACCATGCTGCTTTTACTAAACAAACTACAGAAAGATTGGCCTGTATCTGGGAGACCTAGAACCTGGTCAAGAATTCCCAGTCAGACCAGCCATAATCCCATCCAAAATGTATCTGAGAGGAAGCACTGTATGTAGAGAGATGTCATCTTGACATGGCATGATTGGAAGGGCTTGTCATCTGCAAAGTCAGGTAAAGTTTTGAATACCCTGCCCCATCAGCAATCTTACAGTCTACATCCACAGTGATGAAGTGGAGAACACAGGACTAATTTGCTGCTAAATGACTTAATTTCAACCAGGAAGATTAAATAATGCATATTGAAAATATCCTAAAAACAATAAAATGTAATTAAAAAAAAAATTCTCATTCACTCAGAAGTCTGCTTGATTATAAGAACCAACAGAACAAGATTTTAACTTTTTCAATTCACCATAGCCACTGAAATGCAGCACTTAAACACTCAAGAAATAACAGATAACTGCAGACAGCTTTAAAGCAAAGGTTATAAACTGGTGCCCACAGGCCTAATCCAGCCCAGGGCTATGTTTGGTTTAGCCTGTACAATTTCTTAGTTTGAATCACCTGGAGCACAACAGTGACTCTCCTTCAAGACGGATGGTACATTCCAGTTCACCACAATCTCCTCCACTTCCTGTGTGACATCTTGCTGCTTCACAGACTTAGGTTACATACTGTAACTCCCATTTTAATGGAAGGGGCTCATTTTTGTGCTTCATAGCACAACATAAGCAGCATTACCATCAGCTCTGCCCTGGAGTACCTGACAGACTCACAGCAGCCTCTAGCAGGAACTTTCCGCCTCTTCACTAAAGCATAAGTAAACAGAAGACTGCAGAGATACACAAAGATCCCATTAAGAGCTCCAGGTTTCCTGCGACCTGATCACTGTTAATGACCAGAAATGTCACACTGGCTCTAAAGCCAGATGCTAACAATGTCCTAGTAGAAGATGAACTCACATATATCATGACAGCAATCTGTTTACTGTGTACTTGAATTTGCTTTACAAAGGATTAACTGGCAGACACTCTTTAGCAAAAAAGTACCCACAACACTTACCCACCACCCTTGATGAGGTTGAGGTCAGCATCTACTTCATCAGCACCATCTATAGCAAGGTCAATCTGTTGTGGAAATAGAAAGAGAAAAATCACTAAGAGTCACTTGATGGGAGGCTCTGTGCTAAGCTTTAAATTTGGTAACTTATTAGAACCTCAGAAGCCCTATTCGGTAGTAGGTAGGTATGTTTATCCCCTTTAACTCATCGGTAAACTGAACCTCCAAGAAGTTGAGGACTACCACTAAGGATTTAGGGTAGCAAGTGAAGGGTCTGGAATTCAAACCTGGCTGCACCTTTACATATACAGCTACACTCTCTTATCTGACTGATGGCTCCACTGCCGACAAGCTGGAATTGTGTCAAGTATGCACTGGACAAACATATGGTCTACTATGCTGGGAATGATAAATTAAAGAACAGTATCACATTCATTGTCAAAAAGAACTATTTCAAGATGTATCCTGAATTAAAATACTGTCAATGACAGAAGAATATTCAAATGCTTAAAGGGAAAAGCAGTTAATATGACTATTATTCAAATTTACACACCAACCACTAATGCCAAAGATGAAGAAACTTAAGAT